ATGATGCAAAAGCTCTTTTGGAACCATTTTTTCACATACCCTTCTCATGCCAAGGTTTTCAGTTAAGATTTTCCTAACTGTTTCACAAAATATCAATGTTTATTTGGTCTGCTGTGATTCTCAGATTTTGATGTGCAATTCAATTAGTTTTTAACATATTTTCGTCAGTTCTGCTGGTTACTGCCCATTCTGACCTCTCTTCATCAGTGACGCTCTCTCTACCCCCAGAAAAACGTTTAATCCATTTGTGCACTGTCATTTTCTCATGGCATTATCTCCATAAACTTGAACTCACATGTCCCTGATTTCACTTTCACTCTTGCTAAGTATAGCAAGAAACTTAATGTTTGTTTGTTGCTCTAATTCAAACTCTGACATTCTCATAATGGCACACAAGAACATGCAACAATGATGAACGCTACTCAGCAAGACACCACCACACACTGACACAAACACAGCTATAAGACATTGCTATGCCAAGGTTATGAAACCTTACTGAGTTACTGTATCGTGCTGCCAACATAAGTGCATGGTGGCAAGTTTACGAATGTAATTGTCAGACCTCATACATGTACTGAGCACTGAGTGAGACACTGGCTGTAGGGTAAGCATTGCTTAATCAAAAACTATAATTTGGAAAAGTGAATAACTGCTATATGGCCACCATTGTTCTCACACATAACAGGCTGCCCTCTCCCAGCATTAACTATGTGATAAAGCTGACATTATAAAGCATTCATTAATGTGAAAGAGACCTTACAGGTTTACATAGTTGGGAGATGCTGTTGCTTGAATTTCTGAGGAATTAAAATTTATTTCCGTTCAGTATCTGATGCTATTTCACATCCTCATTATAAAGCCACCCTTCTATGTCAACTAGAAATAATACCACTGTAGCTTAACATTTCTCCAACAGAAGTAATGGGATATGCAGATTCACTGCCCCAAGATAAAGCAACCAGATATCAGAAAACATTTTTTCTAATTATTTCAGTAATTAGTATAGTTAAGTATAATCACCAAATACCTCATTCTTCCCATGCAAAATGAAATACCATTTGCCACATGATAGAGAAGGATGGAATTACCTGAAATCCCTAGGGGGGAAAGAAAGCATCTATACATGCAATGCACCCTTTTAAGTAAATGAAGAGTAACAGGACACTTGGAGATGCTATCTGTAAGTCAGTGGAAAGGCAAGATACTGTAGAAGCAAGACAGCTTATGCATCCTTAGTCCTGATCTAAAGGATAAAGTAATTTACACCAACAATTTAATAAACATAGAAAATTTTACAAAATACTAACTAGTATACTCACTTTTTAAAAAATTAAGAGAAAGTGTTTCAAGCGTTATCCCTCCACCTCCTTATAGAAGAGCTTCAATTAGCTCTAACAAGGAGGGGAGAAGGGTTGCTCATTACCTGAATTCTCTGATTGGTTAGGGCTTAAGTAGAAATGCCTTGTCCCTGAAACTTCAAATCATACCACTTGTTGCCCTGAATATAGGAGAATACTAGTAATAAAATATCTAGTAATTATTGGATATTAGTGGTATAACTGGTACTACTGAACACTGTTTGCTCATTTATGCCTCACAATAGCACTACACAATCAGGATAGCTAGACTGCTCATTTTAATGGATGAGGAAGCTGAGGCACAAAGAGATTAGTTTTGTAAAAAGAATGAATGCAAGTCTAGCACAGTGACTCACGTCTGTAATCTTAGCATGTTGGGAGGCGGAGACAAGAGGATTGCCAGAGCCCAGGAATTCGAGACCAGTCTGGGCAACTTGGCAAGACCTCATCTCTGCAATAAATCAAAAAACTATTCAAGCATAGTGGCACATGCTTGTAGTTTCAGCTACTTGTAAGACTGAGGCAGAAGGATGATCTGAGCCCAGCAGGCTGAGGCTGCAGTAGCCCTGAGAGTGCCACTGCACTCACTACAGCCTGGGCAATAGAGAGTCCTCTGAAAAAAAAAAAGAAGAAAGAATGCAACCTCTGATAAATGACTTTATCACTTCCTTATCATCATCCTAAGCTTTCACTTTGCTCTAATTTTCTGAGGATGCTCTATTGATATTGGACCTAGAATTTTGAGTAAATTTCTAGAAGTAGTAAGTTTTACTTATCTCCAGTTCATAGAGAACAGGAGGGAGTAGTTAACTACAAATACCACGCAATCCAGTGTCTCTTTTAATGGTTTCTTAATATATAGTAGCTGTCCATATTGCTGTACTTTTGGTGAAAATCTTATGTGTGGCAAATTAGTGAAGGTGTTCAGATCACATGCTATTATCTGGCAACACTGCAAAATTCCCTGACTTGTGAATCTCTAATCCCATTGGTTGAGCTGAGGAACTACCACATTCCAGACTGCTCATTGGCCCTTTAGCTGAACACCTCTACCTCATACCGAGCGTATTCTTTTTCCTTTAGGTATTTTATCATTTCATGAACTGTGTCACGGCAAAAATGACCTATAGCTCAAGCTGATTCCTTCTTCTTTTTTGACCATGAGAGCCAAAGGGCTTGACTTCATTCAGTTTCCTTTCAACAGGCAATGCCCGCTGAGATCTGATCACCTTGCTGTCACTAGCGTCCACCAGCGTTGTTGTACTGTGGTTGACCATCTGCATTTAGAACCATCTCATTGTTTCTTTGGGCATAAAGCCACGCAATCATTTAAGGAAAAAATAAAGTCCAAACTCTACCATAAAAATGGAAAGAAAACATTTAAAGGGGACAGAAGGACTTCAAGCTTACGTTTCATTTCCTTGGATGAAAACTGCTGTAGAAAAATGCATCGTATCATTATGAAAGTGTAGAAAATATTTGGAAATTCCAACCATAAGACATCTCTATTAGTAAGTGGGTTTATTGACATGACTGAACACAATGTATAACATTTATTCGTTTCCCACTGAAAAGACTTTCCAGTGAAACACTGTAAGTAGAACATAGATCCAGGCATAAAGCATTTTCAGTGTTGTTCTACAGTTGAAAAGATGGGTGTCGAGCAGAACCAGAGGCCTTTTGCAGACTTGCAATGGGACTCAATATTATCCTGCTGTGCAAAAGCAACAGCTAAGAAGTTCAACTGCACTATGAATGAAAACAGGAGCGCAAAAGGTGCCAGATAGCCTGCCGGTTGACAGGAAGAGCAAACACCACCACCTCTCCCTTGTACCAATACGCTCTGAATCTAAAACAAGTCCTGGCAGCAAACTAAGAATGACAGTCTATTTGCTGTGGTTTATTACGTTTTGGCCCTGCAGATAAGACCGCCAGAAAAGCGGCTGTAGTTTAAGTGGTCTGGACATTTACTCATCTGAACATAAACAAAGATCAGTTCATTTAGATTCTGGGTCCCTATTCAGTTGTTGGAACCAGGGCAGGCATGGGTCAATCTAGGCCAAATATAAAAGGAGTTAACTGGGGTGAAGGACCCCGGGTGGTAATGGATTCCCTGAGTCATCAGGACCCTCAGGGGCTTAAGGCCCTAAACAGAAGATAACACTGTCAGCCTTAGCACCCATTGTAGTGGCCTTCACGGTACTCCACTGCCAATAAATCCATAACCACAGTGAATATAACCACAGTGTACACCCTCTTAGCGACTGCATTTTTAGACCACACATAATATCATCAATGTAAACCAAACCACTACATTTAGTGATAAACACATACTTCATAAATACCAGAGAATGAAAGTATACCAAACAACTGAAAAAATAGGAGCCTAACCCTAAGTTTAAAACAAAAACATTTAAAAGAAATACTACAACTATCAACTAAGAGATAAGATTTAATAACACAGTAAAACACTGGGTCTTGGAGGGATTAATTGCAAAATACATCATTATTTCACAGTGAGGTTTAAGTACTCATAACAATCTTCTGGTTTTAGTAGAAAAGATACCCACTGATGTACTTTTTTTTTCACCTTTGTTTTCCATAATTTCTTCACCTCTACTATTTCATACAGACGACACTAATGTCATCTAACATTACACTGTCAATTGACAATCACCTTTCACCTCCCTATTAGGAAATTACTTTTATCCTTTAATTGCAACTCAAGAGAAGTAGGGCACAATCAAATGTGTGTCACTGATAAAAAACATGAGAAGTACCACATCACATTTATTCCAATCTAAACACACTGTGACAGATGTGGTAAGTGAACTGGAACGGTGGCACTCCCCAGAGGGTCATCAGTTACATATACATTACATTCTTTTATCAAATCTGGCATTGAAATTTCCTTTTCCACATACAGGTTTAAAAAAATAAAATTCAAAAGTCATAGGAACAACCCTGACAGAGAAGTCTTGTATGCAGCCTTCTCCTGAGAAAATATGTGATTTTAGTTATCCTCAAAGTCAGCAAATGTTCTACTGTTAATGTAAAAGGAAAATAGTTGAACGGCCTAGTCCAACTAAAACAGTTCTTGAGTTTATTGGTCAGTTCGTTAAATGTCAGAGCTCTTCACATTGTTGAAAAAAAATCTGTGTCTCTTATTATTGAAACTTTAAGGTATCCTGAATGCTCTGTCAGCCAACATAAATGAATTCCTTGGCGGGTGTGCTAAACTTTACCACCTGTTTACATCATCCTTTTTGGCAGAGACCACCAGACCAGTGGAGTCAGTTGCCAAGCCTCCTTTGTAATGGTAATAAGTTCATTTTTCCTTAAATAGAAACAAAACTCCTCCATTTGACACTAAGCCAAAACAAAGCATGCACCCAAATATCTTCCTGGCCATATGAGGGGCACAAACTCCCTTTTTTACCCCCAAAGAAGGCAGGTTATTTGTATTGCAATGCTACAAAAGCCATTCCCGTAACTGTGCCAAGGTCTCTGTGTAAAGGCAGCCTCCGACCTCAGCATCCCACCATCCAGTTGTCCCCTACTCTTGGCCTTAACCACCACCAAGTACCATCCATTTACTTCGTGAGTACTGGGAATTGCTGGCCCTCTGGCCCCTTGGGCCTCTCTGGCAAGTGCACAAAAGGAGCAAAGGAGGTCTTCTCTTGAGGTGAGCTGGCGGGCCCCACCGACAGGTGGCTCCTCAAGGCCGACGCGATGGTCTCCACACACCTGGAGGCCCTGGCCCTAGTCGGCAAATCGTTGCAGGAGATGGTCCTCCCGCCTCAAGCTGCCGCCAGTGCCACCGCCCGCACTGTCCATGAAGCGGTCGCAGGGGAACTCGATGAGGTCCGCCTCGCTGAGCGCGCACACGGTGGTGCGCGGCCGGTGCGACTGGAAGCCCGAGAAGTCGGCGGACACGCCAGTGCCCATGGAGCGCAGGGGCCGGCGGGTGGAGTACATGTGGCGGACGTGGACCGGGGCCCCGCCCTTCCGCCGGGCCCGCAGCTTCCTCCGCAGCCAGCGAGACGCCCAGGCCGCCAAGGCCAGCAGCACCAGCAGCGCGTTGACCGCCAGCAGGGCCAAGGTCAGCAGCTGGTAGTCGACGCCGCCCCGGCTCGCCGCCTCCGGCAGGGTGACCAGCCCCGCGCAGTGGTCCCGGGGGGCCACGGGGCAGACCCGGCCCCCGAGCACGCCCTCCACGCACACCAGGTAGGGGGTGT